ATTGGCGGTGAGAACTTCCTTGTAACTTTGATACTTAAGAGACGCCATACTTCATGTCTGTCCAGGCATTGGCGGTGAAGTTATGAGTTGCTTTGTGCTGACAGTTGCTGCGTCTGTCCAGGCATTGGCGGTAGTAGTTGATCCACTGATTTTGCTGAAGTTTCTTGCGACTGTCCAGGCATTGGCGGTAAGAACTTCCCTTGTGCCTTTTGATACTCGAGAGAAGCCATATCTTCATGTCTGTCCAGGCATTGGCGGTGAGTTATGAATCAGTGAATATCCAAGTTATCTCTTGGTAGTCATAAACTCCTGTCTGTAGCATATCTTTCTACTGGGATTATCAGGATAGTTTTTTATTTAATTTATTCTTGTTTTTGAAGGTTAGCCTTTATTTTTATATGACTTTCCTAACAAGATTTAATATATAGTTAAAAAAAAACTAGGCGAAACTTTATTAATTTTCATTAAAATATACATGCTTTCAAGGGAGAGAATACGCGGATCATAACGTCCATGCATCATATTATTTCTTTTGCTTTCTTACATTCCGGAAAATTTCAAAAGCTAATTTATTTGATTTTCATGTCTAATTACTTTGCTCTTAGAATAATTTCATGATGTTTTTTATTGATGAATTTGATCGATAAGTTTGATTATATTTTATTAGCTTTGCTTAATTTTGCTTTATTTATGCGAGACAGATAAAAGAAGCATTTCACTCTATTTAATTAGTAATACATATTTGAAGAAAACTACGCCAACATGATCTCTCATCATCAACGCGCTCCCCTTAAAGAAAATTTTACACTATCCTTCGTCAGGGGTCCTTTTTTTAATAATAATATATGTAAGAATTTGAGAATATGAAATTTTGAGAATAAATTATTTTGTGCAAATACTAGTATGATACTGTACATTTATCAAATTCTGGATCAATGGTCGGAATTATAATTCCATGCGAAAAAAAAAAATATAAAATGTCTGGTAAATTCGCGTCTTTACTTTATTGATCGTACAAGAAATAAATATGTACGCTACTTCAAATAGCAATTTGAAAAATAATAAAAAATTTCAGCATTATACTGTTTCCCTTATGATTCTCGAAATCATAAACGAAAAAATTGTCTATTGGCTTTTCGCTTCCTTGCATTTGCACAGCCTCAACTGAAAGTAAACCATCTTATGCTTAATGTCTCGTCAAGAGCTTCTCCAGTATTCATTTTTTTTTTAATTTACATCGAGTAAACGTTTCGGTAAATGAATTTGTTAGAAAAAACAATATCAATGCGCATTTTTTTTTTTTTTT